CCTGTAGCAAATTTATAGCAAATATCAAATTGAAAAGAGTATTAAGTTATTGGAAATCATTCTCTCACAGTTTTAATACAAATTTGTTAGAGATTTCTTTATATATCTCTTACAAATACAAGTCAATTTTCTACTAAAAATTATTTATTTTCTGTATTTTTTTTGCAAAAAATTATTTACAAAAAATACTTGTAAATTTCTCTAAAAATATATAATTATAAAAATTTATAAAAAATTTATTTGAAAATTATTTTTACCAAATTTACTATAAATATATTATATATATATATATATATATATATATATATATATTTTTTGTATATGAAATAAATTATTTGGATATAATTATAATTTTTTTGAAAAAATATCTAAAAAAATTGATAAATATTTAAAATTCTTTTATGTAATTTTTATAGATTTCAATTTGTCGGAAGTATTTAATAATATTTAAATTAGTACAAAATTTTATAAATAATATATTTTTGTAAATTTATTTTAGAAATTAGTCATTATAAAAAATTATTATATTCAAATATTTATTTAATTAAATATTATTTTAAATATAAACATCTTTAATATAATAATAAAGATATTTTTATAAAATTATAAAAAATTTATAATTTTTAATAAAAATACTAAATTAATCTCTTTTTTTCAAAAATCTCCTCTCACTTCCACCTACATCCCTTTCTTCGTTTTCAAACCTAGATCTGCATTTGCCACTGATAAATGTCGTACTCGATCAAATAATTAAAACAGATAAATGTAGTACTATGAAACTTTCCTAGGTTGTCTCCCAAAGACTACGAATTTCTATCAAAACTTGTCAATTTTTCGAATTAGAACAACAACAAAAGGGGGGGTTTTCAAAATTAAAATATTAGATGAAACAGAATGAAAGCATATTATAAAAATGTGGATTAAAAACAGATTGGAATGCAATTGATTTCCTGATTCCAATGCAGTGTCACTTATCCTAGGTTACGAAATTAATTTGAAATTAACTAACTAAACGAAGATAAATCCCAAATTATATTCCAATCCAAAATTAATCAACTAAGTGAAGATTAATCCCAAATTAGTTTTAACCCTTATTCCAATATGAAATTAACAAACTAAGCGAAGATTAACCCCAAATTATCCTTAACCCTTATTTCAATATGAAATTAACCAACTAAGTGAAGATTAACCCCAAATTATCCTTATACAATTAAGCATTGCATACATTACATAATCTCATCTCTAACACAAAATTAAGCAAATTGTAATATTAGTTTCGGTCTATTAAGCATAAACCGATTATAATTTAATACTGAGATTAGAAGATGAAGAGTTAAGAGAACAAATAAAATGAAATTGAAAAACAAAACCTCAAAGATCTATTTACATTCTCCTCAGAAAATCAATACAAAGATTTAACTATCCATGGAAAATAAAAAACGCAGAAGAAGAGACATAATTAAAATCGAAACAAGAATTTAAAACAATGACAAAAGAGTAAACAAACTTGAATACAAATTGCAGAAGATGAAAGGCGACTACGTGGCTACTGCATGGTGTCGTTCTCCCTTAACCCTACATCTCTAACACATAAATAACCCTAACCCTAATCTTAATCTAGGTTTTGGGCGCAACTGATCCACAAAACACAACATAAGTTGGCTTCAATGCAAGTCCGTCAACTTCAAACACATGCATTATTTTCAATACTTATCCAAATTAAGAGATTATGGTCTCCTTTGAAAGCCTTTTGAGTTAGCTTTAAAAATCCAACGTTTATACTATTTTCAAAGTTCTAATGAATTTAGGAGACTTCAATTATTGAAGCATGTCCATTGGGTCGGTCTGGTGCGCTTGACCAGTTTTGGATAGTTTATGTAAAATTCAATTTAGCTCCGAATTGAATGATTTTGGATCCTCTGAAAAGTTGAATGTGTCTAGTTTATAATGCATACAGAATTATGATTTTTGGAGCTCTGTAGAAAAAGTGATAAATAAAACAGCGAACCAATATTAGTTCCCATATAGAATAAAATATGACATTTAACCCAATTTTCTAAGCCTAAAATTGCTTTAAACTGTAATATGACATCTGGCCCAATCTTCTAGGCTCAAAATTGGTTTAAACTGTCCTAAAAATAATAATAAGTAAAAATTAAATCAAATAGATTCAAATTAATTAAAATCTGAATTATTGGCCTAATGAAGCCCAATTAATAAAAATTACTAATAACAGAAAGTTAAGCCCAAAACACTAATTAAAATAAGTTCAGAAAGGGAAGAAAATATGGGAGTATAATGACTCATTAGTCGTCGTTGTCGTTGTCGTCACTCTTGCTACCGCGCTACTGTCGTGTCGTGCTCTACTGTGTCGTTGCCCTACTGTTGCCCCATCGCTGCCACACCAGCACCGTGCCGCTGCCACACCATTGTCGCACCACTTTTGCGTCGTTGCCGCTCACGCTTTCTCATGGTAATCTCTTCTCCATTTTGAATGTTATTACTCTCTAGACTGCTGTAAAATGGCATGCTGAAGTTGTTAGTATACACAACAATACAAAATGGACTGTTGTAGAATGAATGGGTCAGATTGGGTGAATCGTGCATGGGTATGTATGGTCTGCAGATTTTAGAGCAACCATAAATCATATTTTGACTACTTTTAATTTTGGGACTGGTAACTCACATCACGGTTTTTGCCTATATCTTTCATGTTTTCTAACAGTAGCATTTTAATCGATTTTTTGATAGCAAAAATAGTGATAAGTTTGTCTTCTTTTTTTAAGAATATGAATATGATATTATAATGTTATGATGATACTTTAGCAAGAATATCTACTACGCCAATAATAATAATTAGCAAATTACTTACAAATAAAATTGTGAGAGATTAGTTACAGATTAGCGAGAGAATAATTTTGATATATAGTAGCGACAAATAATTGTGAGGGATTAACTACGAAATAGCAAAGACACATTGCGAAGGATTAATTACGAATTAGCGAGGAATTAACTCCAGATCAACTAGAGATAAATTATCAGAGATTAGTTACATATTAGTGATAGAAAAATATTGCGAGGGATTAGCTACAAATTAGCGATAAAAAAATTGCGAAGGATTAGCGAGAGAAAAATTACGAAAGATTAGCTACGGATTAGCAAGAGAAAAATTGAGAGGAATTAGCTACGGATTAGCTACAAATTAACTTGAAATTTAGGAGATCAATTAGCTAGAGAAAGACAAAATTTCATTACTTAAATTAGCGAGGGACTTAGCGACATATTGACGAAAAAATTTGCTACAAATTTGAGAGAGAATACATCTCTATCTAATTAGCTACTTGAATTTAGCGACAAAATAGTCTATAATTATAGAATGTGTCATAGCTAATATATAAAATAATTAGCTACGGATTAGCTACAAATTATAGACTAATTTGTAGCAAAATGTATTAGTTAGAGATTAACTATAAAATAACTATAGAATGTGTCATAGCTAATATATAAAATTCTTGTAATGCTAGTTCTAGCTTGAAGTGTCTATTATGAAACTTTATCATTATTCTTTCTTTCAAGCATCCTTTGCTCGTGTGCCTCTAGGGAGTTTTGCAATTCTTCCATAGTCATCTTCTCAAGATCTTTCGATTCTTCTATGGCTACTACAATGTGATCAAAGATGGGTGTTAATGTTCTGAGTACCTTTTCCACAATATTTGAATCGGTCATTGCTTCATTGCAGTCTCGCATAAAGTTTGTCACCACCTGAATTCGATTAAAATAGTCTACTATAGTTTCTTGTTGTGTCATTAATAATAGATCATATTGTCTTCTGAGATATTATATTTTAACCTTCTTTGTTCTCCCAGTATTGTCATATATTTGTTGCAAAATATCCCACATTTTCTTTGAGGTTTTAGCCTGTGAAATATTTTGAAATACATTTGCAGAAACACATTGATGCAAAAGAACTCTAGCCTTGCAGTCTAGTTTCTTGTTCTCTCGATACATCTGTTTCTGTTTTGCTAAATCATTATTGGAGGGTTCTTGAAACTCAGTTCTTATAATCTCATCAAGTTCTTAGAATCGAAGAATATCATCCATCTTTACGCACCAATCTTCATAACCTTTTCCATCAAACACAATGAGATTCCCATGTATAGCATTCACAACAACATAATAGCATTGCTTCCTTTTCTCACTCTATCTATGTGTTAGGACAAGTTGTTTTTTTTTTTTTAAGAAGAGGAAGAAGGAAGAGAAACACAAGATGAGAAAAAAAGAGACATTGTCGTTAACCACACGGAAAAGTTAATACAATAATATTTTTTATACAATCATATAGAACATATCTATAACAATCATACCAACTAACTTCTAACTTTTCTATTTTGGATTATACTGCAATAGAACTAAATTTAGAATTTATATATCTAATTATTTATACGCAATTCAAATATAAAACATACAATTCTAAAAATAAAAATTAATTTATTTATTTCTATCATTTAAATAAACATCAAGTCGTTGCATGTTTGGGTCAATTATAACTAAATAAAACACTATATTTAGAGTTACTATTTCACATGTCAAAGTAAATTATGATAATTTATCATACAAATATGACAAAAAAAAAATTAAAGGTATATATGATAAAAAAAAAATTGTCGTGGTTTAAACCCAACGTACGAATGATGGTACATATTATAATCAAAAGTTTTATGAATGAATAGATACCAGCGTAAAAATTTGTTGTGAAATAACAATAAAGAAAGAAAGTATTAACGTGAAAACGGAACTAACATAATGCAACTACCTCCTCAAATATAGACAATGTCTTGTAATCATTCTGTGTCCTTTCATTCAATAGCGCTCGATTTAACCTTCATAACATTTTCTTACCTCCAAAATTAAAGAATGTCTATGCCACTTAAATAAGAGCCTCCCATTTCCCATGTTCATGCCTCACACAAAACCCACCAACCCAAATTCTTCCCTCAGACATGGCTAATTTTCCTTCATGCTCTTCTTTTCTCCTTTCATCATTCATGCTGGCAATTCTCATTTCTTGCATCTCACATTCTGCCCTTGCCATTGATGGACATACAGTCGCTAACTCTCCTATGTTGACCACAAAGTTAGGAATTAATCGCACAATCATAGTAGATGTCAACGGCAATGGGGATTTCAAGAGTGTTCAAGATGCCATAGATTCCATTCCCGAAAATAATTCTAATTGGGTAATTGTTCATCTTAGGAGAGGAGCATACAGGTACAATTTAGATATGTTCTTTGATTATATATATATACTTGCCATAAGAAAAGTTTATCTTATGTTTAAACTTGTTAAATTTTGTTTTCATTTTGATGATGTGTAGAGAACAAGTGCACATACCATCGAGTAAGCCTTATATATTCATGAGAGGGAATGGCAGAGGAAAAACTGCTGTAGTTTGGTCTGAGAGCTCTTCAGACAACGTGGCTTCTGCCACCTTCAGAGTCGAAGCACATGATTTCATTGCCTTTGGAATTAGCTTCATGGTCAGTTCTTTCTATATACTTCAAACTTTGCAATCCTATGTTGGAAAGGATGTCCATTTTATTATTGTTTTCATTGCAGAATGAGGCACCTACGGGGATTGCTTATACCTCGCAAAACCAATCAGTGGCAGCATATGTGGCAGCAGAAAAAGTGGCATTTTATCATTGTTCATTTTACAGTACTCATAACACTCTCTTTGATCAAAAAGGTAGACATTACTATCATAATTGCTACGTTCAAGGCTCAATTGATTTCATATTTGGTCGTGCCAGAACAATCTTCTATGTAAGTAGATACATGTGTCTGTGTCTGTCTTATCATGCATGCTTTTGCTAACATTTTGGCTATTGAGTGAACCACGCACTGATTAAATACATTTTTTCACGCAGCAACCTGAAATATTTGTGATAGATGATAAAAGGTTAACGATTCAAGGTTCAATCACCGCGCACAACAGGGAAAATGCAGACGAGCTGAATGGGTATGTCTTCATCAAAGGGTCGGTTTATGGCATTGGTTCAGTTTACCTAGGAAGGGCCAAGGGTCCTTATTCTAGGGTGATTTTTGCTGAGACGTATCTCTCCAAGACCATTGTCCCACAGGGGTGGACCAATTGGAGCTATGATGGTAGCACAGAGTAAGAAAAATCACCTATTTTCTTATTATATTTTGTGTACATATATGTTGTTTAGAATAGTGATTAATTATGGTGATTGATGAAAACTGTAGAAATCTAGTCCATGCGGAGTACAATTGCAGTGGACCTGGAGCTGTGGCGAAGGGACGTGCTCCTTGGTCGTTGCAGCTAACAAAGGAAGAAGTTCAGCCCTTTTTATCTATCGATTACATTGATGGCAAGAATTGGTTACCAATATGGATGTAATTGTGTAGCTTTTAGATGCAAATCGAAGGATGTAACATGTGCTTCTATTTTCAATCAATCTAACTCAATATCATCCCAGATTTCTATCTCTTTCTGCATCACAAACTCACACAAATCTCTCTTCCACTCACTTTTAATCAGTTTTCTAAACACTGGATTTCAGAGACACAATTAATATGAAGTTGGATTGTTTTGGCAAAGCTGAATTATGTAGCCACTTGGTCATTACGCTCCAAGGAACTGTTTCATGAGTATACATATAGATTCAAAAAATTTAATAATAATGATAAATATATTTGTAAACTCAAATTTATTTCATTGATTTATACTAGTATGGATTTTTATTTGCATCCATACATGGATGGACATCGTATATCACAAAATTCAGTAATTTATTTAATTAATATACTACTATATATATATTATTGCATGCTACATCGATCCATCCATGCATGATTGATAGCGTGAGTTCATACTTTTAGGAATATTTAGATTAATACCCACCACCAATTTCTCCATCGCCACCTGCATGACCACTGCCAACTCCTCTAAAGCCACCGTGTACCCCTCCAATGCCGCCACCACCACCACCACCACCACCTCCACAGCCACCACCACCTCCTCCTCCATTACCAACTCCAACACTTCCTCCTCCAACACCACCACCACCAGTTCCTCCTCCTCCTGAACCTGCACCAGCACCACCTCCTGAGCCCCCCCCACCACCACCTCCTTTACCTCCATAGCCTCCTCCAAGTCCAACAGCTCCTCCTCCAACAGCGCCACCTCCACCGGCTCCTCCTCCAGCGACACCTCCAGCATCACCACCACCATGTCCTCCTCCTAAACCCCCACCAGCACTCCCTCCTACAACTCCTCCTTTATCACCACCAGCACCGCCTCCGACGCCACCAGCACCGCCCCCGGCTCTACCAGTACTGCCTCCCACTCCACCACCTCCACCAGCGCCGCCTCCCACTCCACTACCTCCTTTGTGTACACCTCCGACACCACCTCCAGCTCCACTACCTGCACCAGCTCCCTCTCCAACACCACCACGTCCGCTTCCAGCACCACCACCTCCACCAGCACCGCCTCCTTCTCCGCCACCGACACCCCCTTCGCCGAAACCTTGTCCATTGCCAAAAGTACCTCCTTCAAAGCCATCGGGTAATTCATCATCGTTGATTTTTCGACATTCAGCTATCACTATCACTAGCAATAAGAACACACTAACTGTTCCAACACTCTTATGTAATTTACCCATCGATCTCTGAACAATTACAAAAACTCAAACTACAAACGTTTGTGTTGCTTCCAATTTGAAAACTACCAAGGACTGGTATATATAGTGGAAGCCACAGTACTTGCCATTAATTTGCTAGTTAAGATCTCTCTTTCACTCTCGTATCCACAGTACTACTATCCATCACTTGGCCAAAAATTTCAAAACCACATTTTTCAATTCCGTTCCTTTTTTGCCACCTAACAAATCTATTCCATCAATACGTTTATAATATAACTATACATGTTTCAGCCTTTTCCCACCAAAATTATCACTTCAAATTTAATTTACAATTTTTGTTGAACTTTTCCGTAATTTCTCCAAGCTAAACTAAAATCTATTGTATCTGCTAATTAGAAAATAAGGGTATAGATGGCGATATTTTCACAGGTTTAGTGCATTCTTTCGTACTCTGGCCCGTTAAATATTCACTGTGTCTTCCTTTTTTACAGGAAAATAATTCATTTAGTTTAATGTGTACTATCTACACCACAAAAAAGTTGTTTGAATAAACAAGAGCAATAACCATTCCGTTAAAACTCTATAAAATAGGCTTACTACTTTAAATTATATGATTTTTTTTTACATATATACATAAATTCTTAGTAATCATAAGAATTAAAAAATAAACATAATTGTTTTTAAATAATTATTGTATTTTAACATATATTTATAAATTAAATATATTAGAATCACAACATTGAATATTAAAATTATATAAAATATGTGTTATCTTACCAATATTTTTCTAAATTAAGATATACTGCGTTACAACACACAACACGTAATTATTTCAAGTGGATGTAAGTATTATTTCAATTTATTACAATATTTCATATTGTGATGGAATAAAACATAATATATATATATATATATATATATATATATATATATATATTTAATCATATTGTAATCTATAATATCGATTTGACGAAATATGTGTCATATTTAAGTAAGAAACGAAATTCTATTAAATTATATCAATGTTAAGATAAATTTAATGTCTAATAAATTAGGAAATTGTTTCTTGCATAGTTTATTTGTAATAACTAATATATATTTACAAGTCATTATATTATTATTATTTAAAATAGTAATGTTGATGAAATCTACCTCAATCTTAATTACGTAAAAAATAATTCGAATTAAATTATATATATTAATTTAGGAAATTAATGTATATTTATAGCTAGTATTTTAATGTGTATTTAAGAAATTATTATATTTTAGCATAGTCAACAAATATATGAGGTTTTAGGTTTAGAATAATAATTAAAAGTAAAAAGAAGAAATATAACAATTATATAATTTAATTTCGCTGTCATCAATCACTGATAAATAAGAAAGTTATAAATAAAATGTGCATTAAAAAAATTCCTTTTAATTATTATATATAGACAACAAAATACGTATGTTTTTTTTACGTAATTTTAACAATGTTCATCAAAACTTTAAAAATATATATTAACAATTGAGAGACACTGAATTTTAATCTACAAAAGAAAATATAAGCCTATAATATAATAAACAATTTCCCTTCAAAACTAAAATAAATTATATATATATATATATATATACATATATTAAAAAAAATAGTGAACATAAAAAAATAACAAAAAGCAGTGACAATCAATTAATAATTAAAAAATGATAACATAACATTAAGAAGTTTATAATTACTATTTATCATTACCATATAATAATAAAAATTGAATTAAACATATTTTAAAAAATTTAAATTTTAAATTACAGTTTTCATTATGGATTTTTTTTTTTAAGTTCTAGCATTTATCGGTAGGAATAGTTGATTTATTTAAAATAAAAAAGTAAATTTTTTTAAAACAAATCAAATTATTTTGATACAAAAATAAAATCAATTTAAAATATTAATGTGGTTTTGAAAAAAATCATAATAAAAATTTAAGATTACATCTCTTAATTTAAAACCTTGAATTAAAGTTTTCATTTTTAAGGATAAACTTATTTTAGTTTTCTCTGTTAGAATCCACGGATAAGAGTAAAATAACTTTAAATTTAGAGAAAATATATTAAAATCTGATACTATATATAAAAAAATTAAGAAGTATTAAGTAAACAATTTTATCTAAAATTTAAATTATTTTTGTAAATACAAGAAAGATAAACAATGATGGAACAGGGTAGTTAATTAAAAAAAATGAAAATATAATATTAACCATTAACATTTATTATTCAAATATAAAAGTGTAAAATTTTAAATTAAAATTGTTTCAAAATTTTAATCTTAAATTTGAAATAGATTTTTATTTTTTAGGTTGAAACTAAAATATTCCTCCTTGGTAGATTATTGATTTTAGGTCTTTTTTTTAAATTGAAAAAAAAAACAATAAAGAAATAACAATTATAATTTATTGCTTTTTAAGAGAAAAAAAGAGCAAATTTGAGAAGTTTATTATAACAAATTTAATAACAAATTATTTATAATTTTAAATTAACAAATTATATGTAATTGTATTTTGGAAATTATTTTGCGTATTGATTTGAAAGATAATAATATACATGCCAATGAAAAGATAAACTTTGTAGTACCTCACTTATATTTTGTTGTATTTACTAATCCAAAAATTGGTAATTTACCAGATTTTAACAATCATACATAACTTTGTAAATGCAATTAGTGTAAATGTTTGTAAAAGTATACATAAATTCATTTTTTTCACTACTTGAATAGAATCACACTAACACTAACGTGAGAATTGTTCAAGTAATTTCTTTCCATAAATAACTCTTAAAAACATAAGTGCTGGTCGAATCTTAAAAATATTATTTTTATTTATTTATTTATTAAATGCAGAGTATGTGGATAGTCAAAAATTTAAACTTATTTACATCATGTGTATAACAAGAGAGTAATGATATTTAAAAAAAACACATTTTAATTTTAATTTTATATTTTTCGTTAATAATGAAAAATAAAATTAAAAAGTAAAATAGACAATTATTAATGGGTGTGTAGGTAAAAAGTACGAAGACAACAGCTAGTGAAGAATTGGGATAGTACTGTCAATTTTGACTCCTCCAAATGTTTGAGCATAATAAGAACACGAGATTATGATATCATTTTCTTTTTATCTTAATAATTATTATCTCAATTCTAGTTGAATTAAAATATATTTTTATAAGAAATATTATAAAATTGCAATAATTAATTTTAATATAACTTTGATTTTATCAAAAACAGAACTATGGACTTCATTTATCTACATGAGTCAATCATCCACTAGTTATTTATTAGTTACAGGTCTATATATTTTCACCTTATAATACCTTAACGTTAAAAATACCACTATATTGGATAGATGATTAAATATTTTGATATAATAAAATTATAATATGTAAGAGTAACCTAAATATTATGTACAACATTAAAATATTTTAAACCAAATGGGCCTATATTACTCAATGTGTCACATCAAAATAGTCATTTTCATCTGAAATGATATGTATTTTATAAAATATATAATTTTAAATAGGTTTGTCATGGGCATATGAAATTGTTTGTTCCATTATGTTAGAACGAACAAGTTTGGATAAATTTTCTACGATTTATGAAGTTTTACATCTTGTTATTAATTATTTTGAATAAATTATTTTTACACTTTAACTTGATAATTTAAAATAATCTATATTTTGTCTCAATTCAATTTCATCGTTGTCTTCTATCTTTTTAACACAAATAAGTTTTTTATTTATTTAAATATTATATATATATATATATATATATCATAAAATATTATTTAATATTGTTTTCAAAGTGTTTTTTTTAATATGTTATTGTTGGTAAGAGTGAAAATAAATACACATTCTTTACGCAATGTATTAATTTGAATTTTATAGATTAAAAAAAGTTGGTAAAAGCTTAAAAGAAAAGACTTCATTCAAAATAATTTCGCAGGTTGTTTAACGAAAAAAAAAGTTATTGACACCAAAACTGAATAAATCTATTCATAAATATTTTTAGATGAAAAAAAAATTATTTAAAAGAAAATAAAATTAAACATAAACTAAAAATTATCTTCAAAGGAAACTAAATCAGGAAAGTTTCTTCAAATTAGGTTATATGTACGTAATACATGATTATAAAATGGAATAGGGGAGGGGAAATAAGGGTAAAATGGTCTTTTCACAAATTAAAATAGGGGTCTAGTTAGAAAAAAAAAAGGGTGAGAATCATCAGGGCCTTACTGTAAAGGTCCTTGGCTGGAAGCCCATGGGTCTTAGGGCGGTGTTGTTAAAGGAAGAAGGTGCAACACCATTGTTCCAATCGTGGAGACTTTGAATTTTAACCTGAGTGGGTGGGTTAGGGCATAGAACAGCGAAGGGAAGGAGAGAAGGGTGGTTTTAGGGTTTAGCGTAAGAATGGAGGGTGGAGAGGAAGGAGTGGAGATGGTGGTGGACTCAAAGGACTTACAGCAACAGAGCAAAGCGTTGGACAAGCTCACTGACCGCGTCGAGGATCGCCAGCTGGATTCCACGCGCGTCCAAGAGGCTATGGCTTCCATCGCTGCTTCTGCTGAAGCTGATCGCAATGCCATGCGCATCAGGTCACCTCATCTTTACTCTTAATGCTTAATGTGCATCTAAAGCCAACGCCTGCAATGAATTCATGCATTATAATATACTACTTGGCCTAGGGGATGGTAATTGTAAGTTCCGACGCTTAGGACGAGATCACGTGCTTTGTAACTTAGTAAGATTAGACGAAAGCAGAAACTAAGTGGTGATGTTGTAATGCTCCTAAGGTTGTTTATTGCAATGTTTGTTGGTTTGTGAAGAGAGCCAAACTACCCAAAAAAATATGGGTTAAGTTTGAACCACTCTGTTCGAGACTTTTCCTTCACTTTTGACATTCCAACAATGTCCTCCTCAAATCAAATGTCACTCTCTCCATCTAGAACGCTAAGAAGATTTTCGATAGAAGGAACTGAATGGGCATACACCACCAATTCGACCTCTCACAAATGAATAGAAGGACCCTCACAAATGAAAGGAAGGACTCTCACGAATAAATAAATGTTGCTATAGTAGTATTTTTCTTTTATAAAGAAAAGTAATATTGAAGGGTTGCGTACTATTAACAAAAAACAAAACACTATAAGAGCAATAACAAAAATATCTCTAAAAGGAAGGACTCTCACGAGTAAATAAATGCTGCTATAGATTTTTCTTTTATAAAGAAAGGTAATATTGAAGTGTTGCGTACTATTAACAAAAAAACAAAACACTATAAGAGCAATAACAAAAATATCTCTAAAACTATGGCCATTAATACTTTAACTTCCGCAGCTCTTCACACACATATGCACATCCTTAACAAACTCTCCCTTAAACCAAAATAATATTCTTATCTTTATCACAAACCTTAGTAAAGAGTGTATGTTCATATGGGCACTTGTGAAAGCTTTCTTTTAGAAAGTAAGCCTCAATGCGACTATACCAAGCCCTCGGGACTTGCTTCAATTCATACAATGCCTTCTTTAATTTATATACCTTGTGTTCATTCCCTTTATTCACATATCCAGGAGGTTGATCAACAAACACTTGCTTTTTCAAATCATCATGTAGAAATGCTGGTTTCACATCTAATTGAAAAATGTGCCATGAGTTTTGAGCTGCTCTAGCAATTACCAATCTTATTGTATCATGACGAGCAACAGGAGCAAACACCTCTTTATAATCACACCAAATTGTTTCTTATAGTCTTTAGTTACTAAGCATGCCTTGAATTTGTCAACCTCACCATTTTCTTGTAGCTTAGTCTTGTAAACCCACTTTACACCAATTGTTTAGTGCCCTTTCGGAAGATGAGTCAGCTCCCAAGTATTGTGCTATATGCCTGCAATTTCTTCATCCATTGCCTTCCTCCATTTGGGCTCTTTGATACCCTCAAAAACTACTGGATCACAATCTGCAAATAAAGCAAAATGAGTAACTACCTCTTCACTACCATAAAATCATCCATCCATGCAGGTCTCCTTATATTTTGTTGTAGATGCTCATTTGTTGATTCAGTTGCTTGTTGCTCACGTTTATCCGCTGGTTCAACTTGTTGCTCACTTTGTACTTGTGTTATTGGTGAATGTCGCCTTTCTTCATCTTCACTGTTAAAATCAGCTTGTATTTGATGTTCCACTTTACCTGTATCCCAATTCCAAAACAACCCCTTATCGAACACCACATCACAACTAATCACCATTTTATTGGTGATAGGATTATACAATTTGTAAGCTTTTGATTACTCACTAACACCAAGAAAAATACATTTTTCTCCTTTATTATCAAGCTTCTTGTGGTGTCATATTTTGAACAGCTACCGTGGGGCTTCTATTCAGGATATGTATGCTTCAATTAACTGCTTTAGGCCAGAAAGTTTTTGGAACTCCACAGACTTCATACCATGTTCAAAATTGTGCGATTCTTCCTTTCACAAATGTCATTTTGCTAAGGTGTGTATGCTGCAGTCAATTGTTTCTTTATTCCTTGCTCATCGCATAAATTAATAAATTCTTCTCAATTATATTCTCCACCACGATCACTACGCAATACTTTGATTGGAGTCCCTGATTCTTTTTCAACTAAAGCTTTGAAACTTTTAAAAGTCGTGAGAGCTTCAGATTTTTCATGCAAATAATAAACCCAAGTTTTTCTACTAAAATCACCAATGAGCGATATAAAATATCGTTTACCTCCATTTGACATCGGAGTGATGGGTCCACATAGGTCTGTATGCACAAGCTCCAATGCCTTCCTTGCTCTCCATGATTTGCCTTTCTGAAATGGTTCCCAAGTTGTTTAACAATGACACATTCTTAACATATTTGAGAAGAAGTTTGTATTTGCGGGAGTCCTGTCACCATATTCTTTTGCTGCAGTGTCTTTAAACTTCCAAAATTTAAATGTCCATACTAAAAATGCCAAAGCCAGCTTTCATCTTTCAACCTTGTAGTAAAACATGAGTTGGTGACGGTGTGGAGGTATAGTGGAAACATCCTAGTAGATGTCATACCAACTTGGGCAATTAATCCCAATTTTTCATCTTGAATTTTGCAAACTCCATCTTTAATAGAAATCTCATATCCCTTTTCTTGTAATGGGCCAATACTCAACAAATTTGTTCTTAAATCTGGAACAAAAATGACATTAGATATAGTCTGAACAATATTTCTTTTTGTTTGAATTGTTACATCTCCTTTACCCATTACAGAGATTCTAGAATCATCCCCAAACTTCACATTGTCATGAAAAGATTCATCTAACACCGAAAACGCAGATTTGTCACCGCTCATATGGTTGCTGCAACCTTTATCCAGTACCATAGATTCTTCTGTTTTTCTTCTTTGGTATTATAAACCATCAACAAAGAGACTTCTTTATTTTTTGTAAAGTTAGTTATTTTTCCATTTTCATTATCCAAATTAACTCGGCATTCTGATTTACAATGACCATACCTATGACATCGAAAACACTCAACGTCTGCCTTGTCTGCTGACTTTGTAGAGTGATGGCTTCCTCATCCTCTTCCCTAATGATGATGATTTTGATAACCACGACCTCCTCCTTGGTGATGATTTTGGTAACCACGACAACCATTGTATCCTCTACCATGACCTCCTCTATTTGTGGAATTATTATATGTAGAAGCCTTCAATGCATGTTCCTCCTTCTCCTACTGGCAAATTTTCCGCTCATGAATCAATAAAGAACTTTGCAACTCATCAATTGAAAGTTTCTCAACTACATGAGCTTCTTTAATAGAACAAACTACAAAATTAAAGTTCGGAGTCATGGAGCAGAGTATCCTCTCAATCACAGCAACATCATCTGTTTTGTCACCATGAATATGCATCTTGTTGACAATGACCATTGTATGTGAAAAGTAATCGGTTACAGATTGACCTGATTTCATTCATAGGGCTTGAAGTTGTTGCCTTTTCGCCCTTGCAGAATCCTGATATTTTTTTCTTCATGGAATCCCAAATATGCTTGGATGTATCTTTACAAAGGATGGTCACCAATATTGAATGACCAATTGCTTGAAAAAGATAATTTTTTGCCTTTAAATCTTTCAAGTGCAGCCCTTCTATCTCCTTTTTCTGAGCCTCTGTCACTGCTGTGACATGTGCTGGTTGCTGAATGCCCTTAGAAACAACTTGCCAATACTCATTGGATCTCAAGAAGTTCTCCATCAACATACTCCAATGATCGTAGTGTCCATCAAAGCGATGGATAGATGGTTGGACAAAGTTATGTGTCATTATTTTGTTTGCAGCGGCTCTGATACCATTGTTACAAACAAAGGAATGGAAGGACTCTCACGAGTAAATAAATGTTGTTGCTGCAGAATTTTTCTTTTATAAAGAAGGGTAAAATAAAGAAGGAGTACAAAGTAATATTGAAGTGCTGCGTACTATATTTCACTTATTAAATAGGTAAATGCAAATTATTAAATGCTAGAAATTTGGAGCCCACTATTAACAGAAAACAAAATTTGGAGCCCACTATTTGGCGTACAAAGCCCACTATTAAACAAAACAGTAAGAAAAATATCTCTAAAAATATGGCCATTAACCAACTACTTGGAAGTACTTGGACTTTAACTTCTGTAGCTCTTCGCACAGATATACACCTCCTTAACAACAACACTTGGGAAATATCCATTAATGGGCCAAGTGACAACGTTATTAAGTTGATATTTGAATTGTGAATCACAACTTGTATTGAAATGTAGGATCTAGGGAATGAAAATTATTTAAAATATATCATGTAGATGATATATAGTGTTCATGTAATAATTTTAAAGTAGAAATAGATAAAACAACTTAACATAAGTCTTGTAAAACAAAATCAATAGGTGTATGTGAGTTTGTGAAGCCTATATCTTAACAGAATGGAGAAACAAAGCATTGCAATTGTCAAATGCATTAAATGTGTGAGTGACAAATAAATTAGTGGATTAATCAAATAGGATAAGTTCTGAAGCGGCTTCTTCAATTCCTTTTCATTTAACAATATAAGCTGATATGACTTTTCAAACTTTTCCATGCAAATTGGTGGAAGAAAAGTAAAAAAGGACAAAAATGATGTATGCTGAATTGTGTGATTTGTATTGATGGTACAGAATTGCAAATAGGACAAGTTCAGAAGTTGCTCCTTCAATTCCTTTTTCATTTAACAATATAAACTGATATGTCTTTTCAAACTTTTCCATAAAATTGGTGGAAGAAAAGTAAAAGAGGAAAAAATGATGAATGCTGAATTGTGTGATTTGTATTGATGGTACAGAATTGCATATAGATTCATTCTTGTATTGAAAGATAGGAAGTCATTTAAGATACATCTTATGCTACAAATAGGTGGGTAATTGAATTCTATCAAATTGTAGGATTCAAATCATGAATTGTAAGATTCTAATAACTATTCTAAGTTTTTGAATCACACAAACAAAACTGAAAACCACATCCAACTTAAATCTTAAGACATCAGGTGTACAAATCTTTGTTGCTTATATGGAGCTTATTTACAATCCAACAATCTTACCCTTCTTCCCCACTAAATTTGCACCAGTCATCCCTCCCCGTGTCATTTTCTTCCAAAGAGTGACAAAAACCTTTGATCAGTGCTGTTACTAGCCTTAAAGCCTGATAGTCCTCAATATTAATTGATTTATTATGGTCGGAGATGAAACATACAAGTCAGAAGCACCATATCAGAGAAGTGAGGACCCTGGAGATAAAAATGAAAAGAAGAGTGAACAGAAATAATCAAACAAAGAGGCACTAATGGCCATAGAGTACAACTCAAATAGAATGGAGAATTGGAAAATAAGCTGAGAGGAAAAGCAATAGAATGAAACAAAGAAGCGGAAGGTCATTGGGGTTGGCTTGAGTGGGCAGGTTATTTGTTTTTTAAAGAAAAAACCTACAATGCCTTTTCTGCCATGACCACCAAACATGTAAACATTTATCTAAATCACATTAGCTGATGTTTTCATGTGATTTTAGATAATTCAATGTGAATTAAACACATATCATGCGAATTAATAATTTTAATAAAAAAAACTATAAAACTGTATGTAGACTTCTCCATTTTCCCTCTTTTATAGTCCTGCATTGATGGTTTGTTTAACTTCTATCTCTTATCTGTGGTATGTGTTGTATACCAATCACAGGGAGAAAGAATTAGCTGCGGTTAAGATTAATGCAGCAGATGTTGATATAATTGCAAATGAACTAGAGGTAACTTCAACAGATTGTTTGTCAATCCATCTAGAAATTTTTATTCCTATGGATTTATATATCTTTCTTATTGTTTCCATCAGTTGGACAAAAAGGTTGCTGAAAGAACTCTGCGTGAGCACAAAGGTGATGCAGTTGCTGCCATTAGGCACTTGCTTCACTAGAAAGGTGGGAATGAACAAGGATCAGTGCTTCAGAAAATTACATGTACCAGCTTATATTGTTAGTATTTACATTGAATCTCAACTGTATTCTGACCTCATTCATTCAGAAATCAGAAATGTGTTGTTGATTGACTGACTTTACCGACCCTCCCTAAACTTTTCTGTGCTATAAATAGTGCCTCATGAGGACCTCCACGTGTCTCTCATCATACACATGCTTGCTTGTTAAGCACATAATTTTGGCATCTTGATGCTCAGCATGTGATTTTTTCAAATCAAGTGGAAAAAAGCCTTGCTTTTATTTATGTGCTCTTGTGACTTGTGGTGTGTAATGCTTGTGCAAGTGGCATCTTCTATTTTGTTTTACACCCAAATTGATAAAGCTAGATTTCAGATTATTGCCATTGTTTCTTGAAATGGACATTTGATGGGATGAAAGTGTCCACAATATTGCTGACTTTTTGCTTATTCAATAAGATTCCGATAAATTATGTTTTGGCTCCATACAATTCCAAGGTCCCCCCACACGCTATGGTGCCTTTTCTTTTATTGGCCATACACCATGGTAAGGTCTTCAGAGTTAATAATTGCCATTCCATTTATTTGTCTGTTCCAGTGTCCTCTTCACAAAGGGTAGTGTCAAAAAAGACCAGGAAGGAGCAGGTTATTTATAATTCGAACATTGGAAATTTATACAATATTTTTATTTTTATAATAGTAATTTTCGACTCAAATATTAGATTGATCCATAATATTCGAACAGTAGTTTAAACTGCAAATTGATTCGTAATGACATTTGGCGTAAGAAACAAAAAAGGTTGAGACATTCTACAAATTGCCTGAGAAAGTTCGGTGTGTCTCCTTTTTATCTTCTTTACGTGGTTTTATTCGACGCGTCACATTTCCACTCGTAAATACATAGATGATCGATTAATTTTTATTTATTTTAAATACACTTTTTTGTAAATATTATTATACTATTATTCATTTATAAATTATGTATCGTAAATCTATTTTTATACTATTATACTTAGTATAATTTATAATCAATTAATATTATACAAATCCATAATGTGGTAGAGAAATTAAGCTAAAATATTAAATTAAAAGTTGACTTTCATTAGAGTGACTTTTCAACGTAAGATGTGAGCAGTTTTCTATACAATTGTGTATAAGCACAGAATGCGCTCTTATTTTCACAAAAGTGGCTGAATAAATGGTGAAATAAACGTCTGGAGAATATGAAGTTGGTCGTTTTATTGGAAGATGAAAATTGCAATGAAGCTTTATGAAATATAAACGTGTAACCATCGATCGAATTGGTTATCGTGTTAATCACAAAAGTTGGTTCATTACATTGGGATATACGCGTGACACGTGTAATTAAGAATTTCTTCTTCCTTTACCTGATAAAATGAGTTTAACCCACTAGATTGCTCAAATGGTACAGGATTTGGATAGTTTGCCTCAGAAAAATAAATTGAGGCAGAAAAAGTTTCCTTATTATTTTCTTTACGGAAGGAAATTTAACCTGCATATTTCAAGGATTAAAAATATATTTTTATCATTAATTAAAATAGTTTCAGTTAACAAGAAACATCAATTCAAATTAATTAAATATATCCTTAATTTGTTCATTTTTCACATTTATTCATTTTAAAAGATTGCAAATCATTTTTCAAATCCTTCATCTCATTTTGCTTCTTTCAACGTTTTAATTTGTCTCAAGATATATTTTTGAAAAAAGGAACATTTTTCCCCCAATATCATTGTATGTCCCCTTGATACTTAAGAGATTAATTCTGTAAAACAAAATTACGTAGAATCATAATTACATTCTAATTTTATTGTGAGCATTTTGGTTAAACAAAGTCATTATATGAGATGTAGAGAGTGCTACTTCAACTATTTGTTAAAAAGTAGATTCTCTGATGTCTCTATTGTTTATAAGGTTATAACAGCGAGATTAATATAAAGTTATTCAAAAGTTTAAGGATGGAATGATTATCATGTTTAAGGAATAAAATATATTATAAGTGTTATCGAAGAAAACTACTGCATACACAGTAAATAACACCATAAAAAGTATATGAGCTTTCTTATTCTCTGTGGTAGTAAAATGGAGGTTCTTCTGTTTTCTTTCTATATTAATGAACATAATATTGTTGAACCTTGCAAGGCTCATATAATGCCAGCAGTAAAAAAAGATATAAGAGACTGTTTTAACAGATTCTGAAATCTCTAAACTATAAATAGTTTCTCATGTAATCTCTAACTCTGATATCCAATCATTTACAAAATTCTCTCTTTCTGCTATTTCCCTGCTGCTGCCTACACTGATTTATATTTTTCTCTTTCTCACTACGTATGGTACAAACATTTTCCATATAAACATTACAAATCTATCCACAAGACTTCAAGCACATAAAGCATTGCTAGCAAGTTTAAGAATGTCTATGGTGCCATCAAGGAAATATGAAATGACTAAAAATAGTTTGTTAATCATTTTTCTACTTGTATGATGATACCTGGACAAAAACAGATGAACCTGCAAAGTTGCCACACTCCAAAACCAGCTCTTTGTACTAACAGCTTTACTCATCGGGAATGTTTTGTATTGCATATGCCAAAAATTCCTTATGCACCAGCTTGTTAGAGAAAAAAGTGCAAGCTCAAAGATTGTGGCTATTTGCTAAAACTCCTTTTGAGTGCCTTCGTCAGCAGATCGAGCTGCCTGGAATTGAATTGCATACTGTCTCTGCAGTTCTCTAAGCCTTTCCACCAGTTCCTGGAATGTTGGTCGACAAGCTGGATCACTGGTGATAATAACAAAGTAAAAAGTTAGCATGTGAGAGTTAGTAATTCCACTACACTTTGCTTCAATAACGAAGCATGGCTGATAACCAATAAGGTCTTAACATGAAAACTTTAATAAGTGAAGTACACATTTTAATAAGAATCCATTAAAAGAAATGAGAAAAATGTGGTTATTTTGAAAATCGCTGCTAACCATACAAAGGCTGTGATCTATCAACTCTTTTGGTTCGAGTAAAAAACCCTTGAACACTAATAGCTTCAAGTTAGATGTGAGAATTAATTAAAATTCATGGTCACAGGCTTTCAGCATTAACTCATAATGTAGATACTAAATAGGGAAATCTCACAAATGCCAATAGAGTGTTGCTATGCAGTACTTCACCCAAAGACCATTTCACTCGTGCATGATTTTAAACATAATGTTTAGCATATGTTCATTCTCCACAAGAAATGATCTCCATTAATTTTAGGGTTTCTTTTTTTTTTTGCAAGTGTGACAATAATTTTTGTTATGGATATATAGAGCTGTGTGGAAGAAATTAAAAATAAGTATGATAGAGTGGCAAAAATGCACACCTGTGCCAGCAGCTCTCAATTATAGAAGCCCACTGTGGGTCAACATCTTCTGGAATTTCTAGTCGTTGGTTCATAAACCCCACTGCTCCAATAACCTGCAAGAATCCTAGAGAAACTGTTCATATATCTACTCACTGAGCATGAGTAGACAGTGAAAAATAATAACAGGCATTGAAGCAAAGGATGATGATAAAAACTGTCACTCACTATTGTCTTTGAAGATTATTTATAAATTAAAAACTAGATAAGTGACAACATGATGAAGAAAATTCAAAGTTGAAACACCTAATTTGCATACTGTATGGTAAAAAATGGTTTATCGACAAGCACTAGAATCAGTGGAATAACAAATATAGCAATAGTGAATGTGTCAACTGTGAAAATATCACTCATTAACTATCACATCACTTTTTATATCTGTTTATTTTTATAAATTTTCATTGTTCATGTACACATTAAGACTATACCTGCATTGGATTGAGAGTATCCCAAGGAATCTTTTCAGTTGTAAGTTCCCACAATATCACCCCAAAGCTGTAAACATCAGACCTAATGGTCCCAAGAAGAAGCAAACAAATAATTCAAAGTGGGACTATAGTAAGAGTATGAGAGAAGGGGAGAAGGAGGACAACAAAAGCGAGAGAAATAAAGGGCATAAGGCACACTTACTTCTCATCTGACAGTTCATTACGGAGAACTTCTGGTGCCATCCATTGAGGCTACAAAGCAGAATAAAAACTGGAGAATCAGAAACACTTTTGACACTGAAGAAGGAGAAAATGTCAAAAATCAAACATTTAAGGGACCAAAAAATGAGAGCCTACCGTGCCCTTTCCTGTCTTAGTAGTGAGATATGTTTCATGTTTAAGACGAGAAAGCCCGAAATCACCAACCTGTTTTGCCAACCAAGATTAAGATAGTCCGGCTGAATAAGAATAGAAATAAGCTGTAATTCCTTAAGCACTCAACTGAATGAATACAACCCAACACGCAGAGAGTAAAAAGATAAGTGAGGAGTGACAAACCTTCACAGTCCAATTCTTATCAACTAAAATATTTGAGGACTTCAAATCTCGATGAATAATAGGGGGGTTGCAATGATGAAGATAATTTACACCTCGGGCCTATAGAAAGAGTAAGCATACGAAATTGCTTCAATCACGGTGGAGATCCTTTTTAAAATAACAAATTTTAGTAAAAATCTACTATTATTGCTCCAAGAATAGATGTCTTAATGATTAAGAATATTGAGAAAGCAAAATAGAGGGAAACAAAAAATGAACACGCTGCTATTCATCATCAAACATCAGCACCATAAGAATGAGTGAAATTACATAAAACGAAGAGGATATATCAATACTGAGAGAGATCTTGTACATAATACTGCTTCTAAGTACTCACAATATCTAAGGCCATATGAGCTCTCCGTCTCCAGTCTAGTTTCGATGTGTTTCTCTGAAGCATACGGAACAAGCTTCCCCTGAATAGACAAAACATAAATGGATGCAATAATTATCAGCACAAATCAAACATTATGTGACTCACAATAAATTTGAATCAGAATCCTCATGATACTGAGTAAATCATAAATGAAGCACAAGACAAAC